TCCGCAACCTCCTTGAATCCCGGACTGGGGAGCTGTAGAGCTTCCAACAGCCGGGAAGCGGCACTGGTAAGGACGAGTGCTCATGCTATTTCAGTAGTGGTTGCGCCTCTTCTAAGAAAACGACGGCAGCATTTCAAATGTTTTCTAGCAGCCTTTGATGGATACCTAGAGAGAAATATGCGATCGTACATCTTATTTACATGGCATCGAGCAGAGCAGATGCCAGCTGGTCCGTCCCCACAGTTAGCCTGCTGCAATACAATATTTCCAAAGAAGACCCTCCCTTCGGCATCCAGACATTCACTGCGAGTTAGGGGACAGAGCAGCTACCAAAAGTCATCAGCTGACGCTGTTATGCAATTCATGAAAGGGACGGAAGAACAATAGCGTTGTCCGCACTATGCAGACAACGTCGCATAAGCCAGTTCAAAACGAACCACATGCCGAGAGCTAACGCAAGCCTTTTCCTCCGCAAAGTGCATGAAGTGGGTCGGGGGTTAGCAGGATGGCTAAAAGTGTTGTAGCGCTCCACCGGGAATACGCCGACGCTACTCACTGGACTCCTCAATGGTCTCCGTCTCTGCTCGAAGCTATACGTGCATTTCGGCGTCTCCACTACTGCTTTACATTCGCTTTGTCCCCTGAACGTGTCAAAGCCAATTCATGCCGATGAAATTAGCCCAGCTTTCGCCTGGAAACCGCTGCAAGATGCTGCGGTTCTGTCTTCCCCCTGCTTAGTTCCCGTAAGTAATAACCCTTAGTAACCCTTAGCTCTGCAGCTGCACAACTGAGGAGCCGCATTATACGTAAAGCTGTAACTAGCTCTTTGATTGTGCACCGAGAAGGTACGTAAAACCAGCAGTGGATTCGCCTTCCCACGGAGCAGGGTGTGTTCACTCCGCATTCTGATTTATCGTTCGGCCAAAGCAAGAAAACTTATTTGCGTGAATGTTACGTGTGCGCTGTTCTGTTGTGCGCATACTCCATTAAAAAAAAATTGTTAAAGGCAAGGCAGCTGTCAAGTTCGTGTTTGCAATAGCAAGTGTCACGAGCCCGTGCTGCACAGATGCGGACAACTGCCGCGGTAAACTAGTACCATCTGGCATAACGCGCAAAAAAAAGGCAGGCATGTTATAGAAGGAATAAAAAGATCATTACCAGATCGTCCTTCGGTATACCCTGCCTAAGCAGTGCTCGCATTTGTTCCCTTTTAATCTTCAACCGCTTTTCAAAATGGTTAGCATTTCGTTCTTCCTGACGCTTCGAAGCCTCCAGGATACCTTTGTTCGTCCAGTTATCCGCAAGTCGATGCATCTTTCGAACGTGTGTGTAATTGGTGGAGCCATCGGATTCACGGAATATCTGCGCAGCTGCTCGAGCGAGAGCTCCAGTCCGCAATTGTGTATTAGAGTATGGAATCTGGTACTTGGCACGGGGGAAAGCGGCGTATAAGTCGTCGACTTCTCCACACGACTCAAGAAATCGCTCGAAGTAGTATCGGGCGACTGAGTCATAGATAGTTTGTTTGTTTTCAACACTCAAAAGCGGCATGAGTTTATCGGTTATCCTTTCATCTACTTGCTGCGTGGGCTCACCTCCAAACAGCCCCACGGATTTCAAGAAGCTAGNTCGGTTATCCTTTCATCTACTTGCTGCGTGGGCTCACCTCCAAACAGCCCCACGGATTTCAAGAAGCTAGTCGCCGTCAAGCCGCCTTCTACCTTTCCCTCGAGCACTTCAAGAGCAGGGTAGCTATAAGGCGTGTCGTATCCAGGAACAGGGACGGGTACTTTTATCCGCTCATTCACAAGCACGAACCACTTCAATTCGTCAAGGCGAAGCCTGACTATACGGCAGATGCTGTGTAGAAGTTGCAGGTGTTGGGCGAAATCATTTCGTGCCTCCACAGGAGAAGCAGATGGAACTTCGCAGTCTCGCATCTTGGCCACGTGCTCACTAATTGCTGCCAGCGGGTCTTGAGGGAGCTCTTGACCTTCCTCAAGCGACGGTGTGAAGTGTAATTGAAAAGCCCGCCGTACGGGCTGTACTGAGGATTCCCAGGCATTCTTCATCTCATCCGCTGCTTTATTGAAATCATCCAAATAGTGCTCCATGCTCGCATCGTCCACTGGTAGATGTGGGGCCGTTACGTTGGGTCGCGACCTCTTCGACATAATGAAGCGAGCCCCCGACACAAGTATCACTAAAAAGCCAAGAATCATAACCTTAGCCGCTCCAATCTGTTTTCCACTGCTCTTCCATGGAGACGAAGCTCCATCTTTCTTAGCAACTTCCTCCCCGGCATCTGCGTTGTCTAGTTCGGGCGCGGTCGCCTCACCTGTCGCCTCATGTGGGTCCAACGCCTTCCACAACCACGCACGGGCGCTGCGCCATGGAATCCCCATCGTATAGTGCGAAAATTAATGAGGGTANCCTTCCACAACCACGCACGGGCGCTGCGCCATGGAATCCCCATCGTATAGTGCGAAAATTAATGAGGGTATCCAAAGCATACAATCTCCTTCCTCTGGGCTGGTACGTAAAACCTCGAGAAACAGAGCGGAACTGTCTCCTAGGAAGCAAAGGAGACCGCAGATCGTTCTGGTTGGTGGGGTGGCGATGACGTTTGAATAGATCGGTGTTGAAATTAATTAATGCGGAAATAACTGGAGTACGAATGATTCCCGTGTAACCCTTGCATACAAGATGTCACACTTCAGGGGATAATGCCTGCTTCAGTGCCAGGCACTACATTTACGCCAGCGAACTGCCTTAGGAAGCCAAACAAAACGACTAAAACACATCTAAACAATGAATACGATATACTAAGTGGAGTAGACGAGTGTCTGATGGTGGCTAGAGCCTGCTGGCTTAGCCGCAAGGCCCTTGTTTAGTACTGGCATCGACCCTGCAGCTTCCAGCCCCTCTGTGATGGCAGCGCGTAAGTAAGGAATCCCCAGTCCCTTTCTGGTCCTAAGCATAGCTTCTGGCTACCTCAAAACGTGCATCTGGAATTTCAGTGATTAGGCTGAAGACCTTATTCTTGTTATTTGAGAGCCCGCTAAAATTATCCGGTCGCAGCGGCCCACTTAGTTGCGAAGCTACCTGTCCTGCATGAAATTTGCACACAAACGGGGACTGCGGACCGGGCAACGACCGCTATGGGTCGCCACTATTTCCGTAGACGGAGGGGCCTTCAAGGCAAATATAAGGTGTAAAATGTTATTTCTGGAACTTTTGGGAACCTAGTGGCGTTCGTTCGCCCGCTGCCACGTAACGAGTGTATCATGGTTTTGGGTTTGTCTGCGCACGTGCATCCTTCTTGGTCTGCACGCTGGCTATGCAGGGCCAAGTAAGTGCTCAACGCTCGTCTATAGTCTCGGCGCTTGCAACTAAAGGAGTTTAGCCGCGCTTGCATGTGGACTTGCCCTATAGCACGACTTGCAGTTTGTGTGTTGCAACCCGTATCTGGCTGCCTCCTCTCCTTCGGCCCAAGGCCCTTGAGCTGCCCGTTCCAGGCCGCCTGGAGATTGGATAGAGGGTCAGTTAATTTGTGGGAACTATTATGTGTATTTCGACTCCATTGCAACTCGCGGCGATTACCAAAACATCAGTTCTTCCCTCTTGCGCAGTTGAGATTGATAGTGACACCTGATTTACTGGGGAAGCAACCCAAGGTCGGTAGCCTCCCCGAGCATCAGAAAGCTCGATTTCGGCATTATGTCGGTGGGAAGTGTATTTCCAGGAAGAGCTTTTCCGGGAGAATACCTCCGTTTCTGCCGTCCATCCAGATATAACGGGCGCCGCGATAACACTCCCACTGCCTCCGCCTCGCGGAGGCAGTGGGAGTGTTCCTCACCCCCCTCGACTTACAGCTGTATTCAAAACACGCCGGAACACCTACAAGTTCTACTGACATCATCTTGACTAGTGGGGGAAGCACGACGGTGATTGCTACATCTAAGCAGAGGGTCCGTTTTCGCGGAGTACGACATATCCATGCAAAGCTCTCCCTGTGCTCTGGGATGCAGACTTGTTTTCAAGTTTGCACGAAGGAAGGCTGTTGGGGGAACGAGAAATTTTAAGCGAAGAAAGCGGTCGTCAGACTGCTGCGTCGAGAAGCATTAGTGCTTAGGGAACAGGTCCACTATTGACCGGAAGTCCAGTAGTGGGCCTGGAGCTGCCAGAAAATTGGTTTATAGTAGGGTTGTCTCCCGAAGGGAGGCAATTGNTCCAGTAGTGGGCCTGGAGCTGCCAGAAAATTGGTTTATAGTAGGGTTGTCTCCCGAAGGGAGGCAATTGGCAACCTGTTTTGCCACGAAAAAGGAGCTAAGGGTGAAATGTTTGAATACGCTGTTATGATCAAGTACCTGCTGATAAAAGAAAGAAATAAGGCCACTGCTGTTTTGCAGTAGCTCTGTTCCCTGAACTTATCAAAGCCAATTCATGCGGTAAATAAAAGTAGCCATGCCTTTGCCGTAACACCGTTGCAAGTTGCTGCGGTTCTGTCTTCCCCATGCGTGGTTCCTGTTAGTAGTAGCCATTAGCTCTGCAGCTGCACAACTGGAGAGCTGAATCCTATGCGTGAAACTGCAACTGGCTCTTCAACACAATGGGAAACAAACTGCGGTGCAGCACAAACAACTAAGCACCGAAAAAGGAGGATACGTACAGGCAACAGTCGATTGACTTACCTGTGCAACGTGGGTATATTGTCATTATGCATTCCTGTGTCATCTTTTCAAAAAGAAAACNGCGCACCACAGATGCGGGCCGCTGCCACGGTAGAAGGGACACCACATGACACAGCGCACACAAACAACAGAAACTAACAGACTATAATAGGAATAATGCATCAATTACAAGATCATCCTTCGGTATGCCTTGCTTTAGCAACGCTTGCATTTGCTCTCTTTTAGTCTTCAGCCGCTTCTCAAATTTGTTTGCATTTTGTTTCTCTTGACGTTTAGAAGCTTCAAGTACTCCCTTACGAGTCCAGTTGTCTGCAATTCGGTGCATCTTCCGTTCGTTTGCGTAAGTCAGAGTGCTGTCGCATTCACGGAATAGATGCGCAGCTGCTCGAACGAAAGCTCCAATTCGAAATGCTCGTTTGGCGTATGGAATCTGGTATTTTGCAGTGGAAAGGGCAGCGTGAGATGTTTCGCCCTTTCTAAAAGGCTGGAAAATATGCTCGAAAGAATATCGGACCAACGAGTTGTAGGCATTATGTTTGTTCTCGATAGCCAACAGCGACAAAAGCTGATGAGCTAACATTCCATCTACTTTCTTCGTGGGCTCGCCGCCAACCAACCCCACATAACCCAAGAAATTAGCTGCTGTCAAGCCGCCTTCTACACTTTCCTCGAGCGCCTCAAGAGACGGGTACCTACAGGGCTCGTCGTGACCAGGCACAGGGACGGGTATCTTCTTTTTCTCATTCACACGCACGAACCACTTCAATTCCTCAAGGCGAGTCGTGACAGTACGGCAAATACTCTGTAGCAGTTGCAGGTGCTGGGCGAAGTCCCTCCGCTCCTTCACAGAAGAAGCAGATGGAACTTTGCATTCTCGCATCTTCTCCACGTGGGCACTGATCGACGCCAGCGGATCTTCAGGNAAGCAGATGGAACTTTGCATTCTCGCATCTTCTCCACGTGGGCACTGATCGACGCCAGCGGATCTTCAGGAAGCTCTTGACCATCCTTCAGCGACGGTGTGAAGTGTAATTGAAAGGCTTGCCGCACAGCCAATTCTGAGGATCCCCAGGCCTCTTTCATCTTGTCCGCCGCGTTATTGAAATCTTCCCAGTACTCCTGCATGCGCATATCGTCCGGTGACGCCTCCTCTATGTAGGATCGCGACCTCCTTGACATAATGTAGCGAGCCCCTGCAGCCAGTACTACTACAAAAGCAACGATCATAGCCTTGTTCGCTCCAAACTTTTTCCTACGGGATTTCAAGGCGAGAAAAAATTCATCATCCGTAGCGACTTTGTAGCTGTTGTCTTCGTTTTCGAGGTCTCGATCTGTTGTTTCACTCGCTACCTCATGCGAGTCCAACGCCTTCCGCAACCAAGTGGCTGCGTCAGGCCACTGAAACCCCATTATTTAGTACAAGAAGGGCGCCGGTGCATACAGGCAGCTCTCAGAGGGCTGGTGACATAATCTCTACATAAACACGGTCTCGGGAAAGAACACAGCGAGTCGGAGATGGTTCTGGGGTTCAATGTAATGATGAATTTTGAATATCTTTGTCTTTAAAATGAATTAATAGGGGGAAACTAACGTAACAGTGTTTCCCGTGCAGTCGCTGCATAGAGGCTGCCCAACGTCAGGGCAGCGTGCTTGCTGCAGTGATAGGCATTACATTGAAGCAAGTAAACTGCTTGACCAAGCAGAACAAAAAGCTCAAAACACACCTTAACAATCAATATGACTTTATGTGTGGAGAAGACCACTGTCTGATACTGCCAGTCGCCTCCGGGTTCAGCTGCGAGGCTGATGGTCGGGAGCAGCATCGAACCTGCAGCCGGCAGAGCCCCTGCAAACTTGGCGCTGGGAGTAGAAAGTTCCAGTTCCCTTTCGGTGTTGAACATAAATCCCGACTATCTTAGGAACACGCATAAGTTATTTGACTGATGAAGCTGAGGATCTTATTCTCGTGATTTAGAACTCCACTACGCTTTGCCGGTTGTAGTCGCCAAGCAACTACATAGGTAGGCCCAGTGCCCTCCATGAACTTTGCAGAGGAAACTGCCGATCGGAGAATGACTGCTCTGACATGGCACACATTCCCTAAGATGAGTTGACTCCAAGGAAAGTACACGACTTAAAGGCTATTTCTTGAAGCTTTGGGGGCCCAGTGGCGCTCTGAATCCACTTGCTGCATTGTTTTTCGTGCAGCGTTGTCGGAAAGTCTGATTGTCGTGTTTGTTATCCGCCTCGACGATATAGCTCCGGGATCAGACAGGATAACCCCACACATGTGAACTCCCGTACACTGTCACTGGCGACTGTATGCACGTAAACGTGATTCACAGAGCGAAGTACTCCAGCATTATACGCTGTTGTGCCTAGACCTGCAGTCGGAGGTCCAGGCACAACTGTGTATGTAATACTGCACACGATAACCCAAAGCATGTTCGGGGGGACAGCTTCCAAGCACGCATTTTTATATTATGTTCTGGCATCCTAGTGTTAGGAAATGCTATTAAGTGTAAATATTTAGAGGGGTCTTCTAGCTACTCACGACCGCCCGATGGAGAGCAACACGTCAAAACTTTCTGTTAACTCGCCGAGCTAGATCAACCAAAATTTCTTTTTTCAGCAGCCAAACCCTAAAATCGGACGTATGAGATTCCTGTTGAAAAACACTTTATAGTAGCGTTTCAGCTGAATTTCTTATTTGCCTAACGACTCGCTCAGGCTGTGAGATAACTACATTGAATGAACTCGACAGGCGATGAAATCTAAATTATATCACTACGTCGAGATTCATTGAATAGAAATGAGATAACTAAACAAAAGGAACACGACAGGCAGCGAAATCTGAACTACCTTTCTATATTAACACTCGTAGGATCAACCGGAACGAATTCAGGCGCAGCGCAAACAAACATGCGCTGAGAATGGATACGTTAAACCAGGACTGGGTCCGCTCTCCTACGAAGCCGGTTTCTATACCCATTCCTCACTCCGACTTAAAATAAAATCAAAAAGAGAATATTTGCTTCAGTGACTTTGGGGTGCGCGCCCTTCAGTTGGGCACGCACTCCACAAAAAACTTGATAAAGATACGACTGCTGTCAGCTTTGTAGATGCAACAGCAAATGCTGAGCTCGCACACCACAAGTGCAGACCGGCNATACGACTGCTGTCAGCTTTGTAGATGCAACAGCAAATGCTGAGCTCGCACACCACAAGTGCAGACCGGCGCCGTACTAGAAGTGGTATCAAGGAGCAAAACGCACACAAATAAGAGCATTACACAGACACTACAAAAGGAATAATGCACTCATCACCAGATCATCCTTTGGTATGCCTTCCTTCATCAGCGCTCGCATTTGTCCTCTTCTAGTATCCAGCCGGTTTCGGAAGTATTCGGTATTTTCTTTCTCTTGCGTCTTTGCAGCCCTCAGTGCTTCTTTGTTCGTCCAATTATCCGCAATTCGGCGCAGCTTGCGTACGTTTGCGTGATGCATAGTGCTGTATGATTCACGGAATATATCCGCAGCTGCTTGTGCGAGAGCCCCAGTTCGAAATGGTTTTCCACTATACGGAATCGGGTGTTCGGCAGTGGAAGGGGCGGCATGAAATGCGTAAGCTTCCCCAAAGGGTTGAAGAACAGGCGTGAAATAATATTGGGCCATAAAATTTGCGGCATTAGACCTTTTCCGAATATCCAACAGAAAGATGAGGTTGGTAGCTAGGCTTCGCTCTACTCTCTGCGCCGTTCCACCGCCAAACAGCCCCAAGGCATTCAAGAAGTTATTTGCCGTCAAGCCATCTTCTGTCTTCGCTTCAAGATCTTTTAGGGCGAGGTAAGAGAGCGGTTCTTCATGGCCAGGAACAGGGATAGGCACGTCGAATTTCCGGTGTATACTTACGAAAGACTTCAATTCCTCAAGGCGAACCTTGGCTGTCCGGCAAATGCTATGTAACACCAGCAGGTGTTGGGCGAAGCCCCTCCTCGCCTCCATAGAAGAATTAGGCGGAGGTTTGCATTCTCGCATCTTGGCCACGTGGTCTCTTATAGTCGCAAGAGGGCCTCCCGGTAGCTCTTGACCATCCTCAAGNCTCGCATCTTGGCCACGTGGTCTCTTATAGTCGCAAGAGGGCCTCCCGGTAGCTCTTGACCATCCTCAAGTGACGGTGTGTAGTGTTTTTGAAAGGCTAGACGCGTAGACGGACCTGAAGATTCCCATGCCCGTTCCATCTCGTCTGCCGCTTGAGTGAAATCGTCAATGTACTTCTGCATGCTCACATCGTCCACTGGTAGCTGTAACACATCAAGTGGTAGTTTTGGCGTCTTTAGGCGAGATGGAGACCTTCTTGACATAATGTAACGTGCGCCCGACAACACTACCAGTACAACAGCAACAATCATAGCCTTAGCTGCTTGAGGCCTTTTCCCACGGTACCTCCAGGAAAGAAAAGCTCCACTTCCCTTTGCAACTTCGTCGCTGCTGTCTGCATTCTCCGGGCCAGGCTGTATTCCTTCCTGCTCCACATCATGCGCGTGAAATGCCTTCCCCAACCAAGTACCTGCGTCACGCCACGGAATCCCCATTATCTAACACAAAAAGGGATGAAGGGNGCCTTCCCCAACCAAGTACCTGCGTCACGCCACGGAATCCCCATTATCTAACACAAAAAGGGATGAAGGGCCACTGAGCCTGCAGTGCCTTTCACTGGGATACGACAGAAATTTTTTAAGAAACCGGGCACAGAGGTCCCTTAACAAACACAGCGGGCCGATTATGGTGGGCCCAATAACTAAAATTGTATTTCGCTCGGCTGGTGCGTAAATCTCTTTAGAAACATAGGAGAACGGCCCCCTCTGGAACACGGACGATCCGAGGTTGTTCCGGTCGTCAGGGCGAAGGCGACGCTAAATAAGTCTTTGTTCAAGAGGATTAACCCGGTAAGAGTTAAATGAAGAATAATTTCCTTGTGAACACTGCATACAGGCTGCCAAACTTGAGCGTTGAATGCCTGCTCCAGTGCCAGGCACTGCATTGACGACGGCGAACTGCTCTATGGAGAGGAACGAAAGGACTAAAACGCATCTAAACAACGAATTCAATATATTAAAGGGAGGAGATGAATGTCTGATTGTGGCTATTGCCTGCGGGTTTAGCTGCGAGGCTCACGTTTGGAGTGGCATCGACCCTGCTGCCGGCAGGGCCCCTGTGAAGGCAGCACTGCGAGGAGGAATCTCCAAGGCATTTTTGCTACTGAGCAGGGCTATTTTTCTATCTTATAAACACGCCTCAACTGCTTCAGCGGCGAACCTGAATATTTCATTCACATGTTTTGGATGCCCACTCAAGTTAGCGACTCGAGTTGCAGACGGTTACGCAGTTTTCAAGCTGTTTTAGCCACCTGTCCTCCACGAAATCTGCAAATAATGGAGAATGTGGACCAGGAAACGACCACTCTGGCTTGCCACAAACTAATTAAACGGAAGGGCGCCCAGGGCGCGTACAAGATTTAAAGGGAACATCCTAAAGTCTCCCGGATATGGTGGCGGTATAGATGTACCGTCTGAATCCTTCAACAAGTTGCTGCGGTGTGC